ACAAAATATAATAAATAGTTAAAATTAATATTATCTTGAAAAAAATCTGAAACTAATCTTATCATGTAAACAGAAAATTAAAAAAAAAAAAAAAAAAAAGGTTAAATTTAAAAATTTTAATATAAGTCTTTTGAAGATTAAAAAAAAAAATTTTTTAATATAAGGTAGTCAAATTATTTATTTAAAATAATCGATTTAATACATAAATTGCACGAATTGATGCTCATGGACGTTATTTAGAGACACATTGTTTGAAGAGAGCTCATAATTAATTTATTCAGTATGAATCATAATTTTTTGCTATTACAGTAAGTGTGCTCTTAAATAACGCCCATGGGCATTAATCCACGCAAATACGGTACTAAAAGGTCGATATTTTATATTATACTATTTCGTATTGTATAAAAGATTATTGCCTAAAGAAACTGCTTATAAAAAGAGTGTGTTTTTTAAAAACACGTTATTTCTTTTATTACCATATGTAGGGGACGTTTTAAGCGGAGATAAGTTATATAATTAATATTTATTGAATTAACTTTAGGGTTGGGGTCATAAGTTAGGTTTTAGATAGTTATATATATGCAAAATTGCCTTCCCGACATGTTTGCTTCATTTTTTTTGTATTGCTTCGCCGGTGATCATCAAAATTATTGGCTGGTAGTCACGCAACCTACTTGATGTAAAGTTGGTTTTTGCTAGTAGATTTTTTGATAGTACTTTGGTGATAATTTATAGTTATATTTAACTCACATCAGAGGTGCTAAGCAAAAATGTTTAGAGATCCCAAAACCTACGTACGTACCTCTAAAATTTGAATGACCTTTGTTTTATTCAAAAAATGTATTCTAACCTAAAAGTAAAGGTGGTGATAATCACTGCTGGTTATTTTATTAATTATAATTTTTTAATTATAATTCTTTTAAGATATATAATTTTTTTTTTTTTTTTTTTTTTTTTTTTTTTAGAATGCATCTTTTAGTAATATCATTATTCTATTAACATATATTTCGGGAAAAAGGTTGATGCCGATACTAAAGTTTATCCGGATTCTTTAAGATTATTAATTAATTGCATGTGCAATGATCGACTTATCATGGGTCTTTGCGGTGAGACAAGGATTGCAAATAAACGGCATTCTTGGGTTACAGCTATTCAAGTTTTCGAATATTACATTTCCCATCATCTGGGCAAAGGTTTTGAATCTGTATTTGGTGGTGTTACTTGTTTACCTGGATGTTTTTGTATGTATAGACTTAAAGCTCGTAAGGGTGATGATGATTGGGTTCCAATTATTACAAAGCCAGAGATTGTTCAAGAATATTCCCAAAATATTGTTGACACCTTACATCAGAAAAATTTGTTGCTTCTTGGTGAAGATCGTTTCTTAACTACCCTTATGTTACGAAACTTTCCATATCGAAAGATGACTTTCTGTCCGCAAGCTGTTTGCAAAACTGTTGTCCCTGATGAATTCCGTGTTTTGCTTTCCCAACGTCGTCGTTGGATTAATTCAACAATACATAATTTGATGGAACTAGTCCTTGTTCGCAATCTTTGTGGAACTTTCTGTTTTTCTATGCAATTTGTCGTATTTTTGGAATTGATGGGTACCGTGGTTCTGCCGGTTGCTATCGTATTAACAATTGTATTGATTGTTTCGAGCATTCTTCATCCTCCGAGTGGTTTCACTGAAGCCATTCCATTACTGATGTTAGCGGCAGTACTCGGATTGCCAGCCATATTAATTTTGATTACTACAAGAAAACTTGTTTATATTGCGTGGATGATGATTTATTTATTAGCCTTACCCATATGGAATTTTGTTCTCCCAACATATGCATACTGGCATTTTGATGATTTCTCATGGGGTGAAACAAGGTTTGTTTAATTAATAATTTAATTAATAATTATTTTAATTCATAATTTAATTAATAATTATTTTAATTAATAATTTAATTAATAATTAATTTAATTAATAATTTGTTCAATAACATTATCTACCTTATGCAATTTACATTAATTTCCCTTTTTTCTGTTAAAATAGAAAAGTTGAAGGTGAGGCTAAAGGTGATAGTCATGGTGGAGCAGGTGGCCAGTTTGATCCCTCCAAAGTTCCCTTTAAACGCTGGGAGGATTGGGAACGTAATAGGATTCGTAAATTGAAACGTCAGGAACGTCAACGTCAACAGGATACACCTTACTTAAATGAACAAAATGGAAGTAGCCGCAGCTTACTTCAGGTTGATTCATATGACAGATCATCAGTTGTTTCACGTAGCTCTGCACAAAATTTTTATGATTATTCCCATAGTGACAAAAAAGAGTCCCATCCAAGAAAGCGTCATGAATTTTATCAACAATCGCAGCAACAATCTCAACAATCGCAACTGGAGAATCTACGGCTTATTGATAATGATGGATCTGAGACGAGTTTAGCAAGTAATGACACCAATGGTGGTAATAATAGTCGTTATTAGTATATATAAGGGGGACTCTAAAATATAATCTTGGTTTAATATCAAAGACTTTGGGAAACATTCTTCCTATTCATGTATATACATATATATATAATAATTAGTTTAAAATTTTGAATGAAGTGAATGATTTATCGATATGCATTAATGTATTTTAGGATTCATCTATAGACTTGCATGCCAAAAATAATCTATTTACCATAAAATTTCATAATGAACTAAATAACAAAAAAATTATATAATTTATTAAAATTTAGTT